ACTTCTAATCATCCCCCGATTTCCCTTTTTCCCTTTATTACAGTAATAAAATGCCTCAAGTTTCAGCTTGACATAGAGCTACCAGTCAGAGACTCCATTTTCCAGCCTCTCTTGCAACTGGTTGTGGTCATATGACTAGGTTTTGGCAATGGATTTGAGCGAGAGTGACAAGTGCAACTTTTGGGACATGCATTCCTAATGAAGCTGCGTGTCCTCCCATTTCTTCCTGCTCCTTCCTGTAGGCTGCTCCTTACCCGTTTTTCTCTCCCCATGCCTGAAGGAGGTGTTGGAGATTATGCCTTTTTGCACTATGTAACTTTCGTAGCCCTTTTCCTGATGAAACAGATACAGGGGCCTGGGAGTTGCATCAAGGGTCAATTTTTCATAAGTTTTTTGTACAAAGAGAAAATATAGGCCTATGACCAAATTCTAGCCAGTGGTATTTGAATGGAAGTGGGGTGTAGTGTCTGAGTCATGCCTCTAAAAGGAAGCTTTCTGCTTCTTTTTTTCCCTTCTTTCTGAGGGTAGGGATTTGACCCTGGTGTTGGTAAGCCCACCGTGACCCAGGGCATCATCCTACAGGATACAAAGGAAGAATATACAAGCAGTGCCAAACAAACTTGGACTTATATAACAGAAACAACTTCCATCTTAGTTCAACCACGGTTATTTGGTCTCTGTTAAAGCAGCCAAATCGATATATTAATACATAATTTATAAATACTGACCATTACCACTATGTGTTGAATGAATATATGATTAGTAAGTATAAACATCTCTAAGTAAAGCAATATTAAAGAATTATTTCTCCCATTCCCCTAAGCTTTGAACATAAAACATCTATAGTCTATAGAAAAGGAAAGCTACAGTACAAAGCTTCAGTTGAAGTCAACTTCTGTATAATCATGACTTTGGGTCCAAATCCTAACTTGCTTTATGATAAAGTGTATTAGCACAGGAAGCATCTACTGTCAGTTGAGGTTAAACCAACACAACACTGAGCTACTGGTTTCTGGTTATAGGTTCTAACATACCAAGAAACAAGGCCTTTAAAAGGAAATGGACTACAAAATCTTCAAATTCTATATGTCCTATCAGTCTTTTTAGGCAAATGTAACAATATGAATTTGAATATTAGTCTCTGATTTCAGGTATTTTCTCCTTACTTGTTTTCATACAGAATGCAACAATAGGGCGCCTGAGTGGCTCAGTTGGTTAAGCGACTGCCTTCGGCTCAGGTCATGATCCTGGAGTCCCGGGATCGAGTCCCACATCGGGCTCCCTGCTCGGCAGGGAGTCTGCTTCTCCCTCTGACCCTCCTCCCTCTCATGCTCTCTGTCTCTCGTTCCCGCTCTCACAAATAAATAAAATCTTAAAAAAAAAAAAAAAAAAAGAACAGAATGCAACAATAATTTCAAGGAAGTAAAGGAAGAAAAATATTTGACATTGGGTTTTAAAAAACTGGCCATTTATGTTTATTATTATTTTAGAAATTTTTTTATTCTTATACATAGATTATGACTGTGTAAATAAGGATTTCTGTTTGTACAGCCCATCTGATCAAATCTGTTTATGATCAAGTGTATCTACTTATGTTACTAGAGCATTCTCAAAGAAACACCGAGAGTGCCCACAGAACTCTTTAGGGTTTAGCTGTGTATGTCTTTTGTGGAAGAGCACTGGTTGGTGACTCATTTAATTAGGAAGGGTTTGAAAGAGGCAATTGAAGGTGAGCCCCAACACTGGAAAAATGATTTGGGTGTCAGGTTTGGGACAGGGGTTGTAATTTAGAAAAGCTGGAGACCTGCACATTATTTTCTGAATAGAAATAAACCTTAAGAAAGACATAGAGCTATTCTGACTTTTTAAGCCAAAAGGTTTATACTGTTGAAGACAGAAATAATGAAATGTAAATGTTGGATATAAAAAGGAAATTTTTATTTCCTATACCACTGAAGTTCTTTTGTATAAACAGTACCTTTTTTTTTTTTTTTTTTTTTTCTGTACACCAAGATTGCTTTATTTCATGACTTTGGTGAAAACATTTAAACTCTTTGCTCAGAAAACAGTACCTTTTTTTTTATCAAGACTTTATTATTGTGTGGTAGTTTTCCTTGGAGGACTAAGGACAAGGACTTTATTTTGCTGATCCCAAATCTTCAGAACTGTGCCTACCATTAGCAAGTTCTTAGTTTAGCTAACCAAAAAAAAAAAAAGAGAGAGAGAGAGAGAGAGAGTTGCTGATTGAATGAATAGACAAGTGGATAATGCTTGCATCTATGAATTGTAATTTCCCACTAAATGAAGTAGAAGAATGACACATCCTGTTTTGAGGGTCTTCGTGGAAATATAGCTATTACACTAAGAGACTTTCCCTAAAAATACAAAAATAAGGAGATATTTAACTCAAATAAGTTGTTTATAAAGAAGGCTGCTTCACAATCAATGTTTTTTGTTACTTAAGTTTTGAAAGCATATTTACTTCATTTGGTAATACTGGAATACTTAATTTTCCAGAAACTATGACTTTAGGTATAAGGCTATGTTAAAAAATAAACATGATTATAAACATAAATTTAGAAAAAGAGAGAATCTGACCAATTTTCTACATGTCTGTGAACAAATATAACACTGAAAAAATGACCAAGATTATAATTAGAAATATTGTGTCAATGAAAAAACAAATAATTAGCTTGAATGGTTATGGTATTCTATACTGCTGATAAATGAGTCATGTTGATCCCCATGACCACCTACGTATGTGAAAACCATGCAAAAGGATTGTAACTACAACAAGCTGAAGTTTTAGTCTATTTCCACAAATTTTCATTATTGTAAACCAACTGACACACATTCCAATAATCCAAATATCATTTTGTGTAGTAATATGGTAATCTGACATAGGGATCTAGAGGTAAGCGGTTTCATTCATGTAGGTAAAGGATGGGGTATGTAAAAGAAATCATGTGATACTGAAAGCAACACTATTCATTTAACATAATGAGCTACTATACAGTAAGTCAGATGCTCCCAGAGTGTAAATTATAAGAATTTGAAAGCTGCATTTATTATTAATATCTCATTCCCAGACAGGGGCTTGCTTAGTCAGAAGTAAAACCTGGTTTAGCATACCAAATTTAAAGCTGTTTAACAAATGCGAGAAAGTTTTTTTTTTAACCTATCATGCATGTAGCGAAATCACCTGCGTGCATTTTAAACCTTTTTTCCCCCTAATAGTATTGAGAATATTTTATTTTTACTACCAGAAATAATAGAAATTAAATACGAATTATAGTAATAGCCAGAAATACTTGAACTGAAGCTTGGATTATTTAAAATTTATCATTTAAAAGTTCTGGAAATAGACTTCATATTAAATTGCCTATCAGTGCTCTAACAGGCTGATGCTATTTGTAAGAAAGAGGGTTGTTAGAGTAAATGCAGGGATGTTCCAAAATATCCTTAGGTTGAATTGATGAGATTTCATATTGTAGATGATTTAATGAGTTCATTCTTCTCGGTGTACATCAGCACATGTCAAATTCTACAAGAGTTTATGATTTCTAAGAACTCTCCTTCTAGAAGGCCCTTTGCTGAGTGGCGCTCGATTAGGAATCAGTAAGTAAAGAGGCTCTTTTTTTATTTTCGTGTAAATCGTTTAAGAGTAATTTGGGGTGGGGGCACCTGGGTGGCTCAGTCGTTGAGCGTCTGCCTCCGGCTCAGGTCGTGATCCCAGGGTCCTGGGATCGAGCCCCGCATCGGGCTCCCTGCTCGGCGGGAAGCCTGCTTCTCCCTCTCCCACTCCCCCTGCTTGTGTTCCCTCTCTCGCTGTGTCTCTCTCTGTCAAATGACTAAATAAAATCTTTAAAAATAAATAAATAAATAATAAATAAAATATTTTCATAATGATTTTTTTTTTTACATGTAAGTTTTTATAGTTCTGGGGCGCCTGGGTGGCTCAGTCATTAAGCATCTGCCTTCGGCTCAGGTCATGGTCCCAGGGTCCTGGGATCGAGCCCCGCATCGGGCTCCCTGCTTCTCCCTCTCCCGCTCCCCCTGCTTGTGTTCCTGCTCTCACTGTGTCTCTCTCTGTCAAATAAATAGATTAAAAAAAAAAAAAGAGTAATTTGGGGTGGTCTAGACACCATGAGTTATTAGGAAGGTGCTTATCAATGGGATGTAGCGCCTCCCTTGCCCAAGATCCTTTCTAACAACCTAGCCGGGACCTCTCCACCCTGCCGGGCACCGTCTGCAGGGGAACTGACATCTTTGCCAGAGACCACCCGGGACACAGGTTCAGAATCCATCATAGGGCCGGCCAGCATCCATAACCTGGTGCCCCCGATTCGGGGCGAGTGCGTCCAATGCAGGAAGATCACTTACGACTGAGTTTTTCATCATGGCTTTGACTGTGAAGCCCTCAGAAACCAGGGAGTGAGGCTGGTGCACCGGGAGCGGCAGTTGCGCCCGCAGCTTGGTCCTCTTCGGCATCTTGTCTGGGCATTTGTTTAAGCTCAGGGTCTCTTTTTCTGCCACCATCTTCCTAGAAAATGTCTTGCTCTCATCAAACGTGTGGTAAAAGAATCAGTGGGTTTTACGGACGTGAGGAGGAGTTCGGGAAAAATGTCAGAAGGCGCGTGACTGGTAGGAATTCAACCCCGCGGAGGGCCCAGGTCGACCCAGATGTTGGGCAGCTCCTAGGTGAAGGGCGTTGAGGGAGGGGAAGGGCGGGAAGAGGGGAGGACCGTGGCCAGAGCCGCGACAAGCTTCCAAAGGCAAGCCTCCTGGTTGCTAAGCGACGCGTCAACACTGCGGCCGAACGGCCCAGTCCCCCCGTGACGTGCGTTTCCTGGGCCTGAACGCGGAACGGCGGCGGAAGGCGGCCCGCGGAAGGCGGGCGGCGTCGGCGGGCGGGGGCGGGGGCGGGGCGGGGTAAGGAGAAACTACGCGGTAAAACTACGACTCCCAGAAGGCCACTGCTGCGCGCCGTCCGCGCGTGCGCATTCCGGCAGCCGGCCACCGGGGAGGCAAGTGCTGGAAGATCTAGCCCCGGGGCCGCACTGGCGGGAGGCACGTGTGGGTGCCAGTGCGCGCGTAGGTCCCTGCATGCCCAGCAGCCTCCACCTGCCCAGTGACCATGATAGGTACGTGGGTGCCTGCCAGGTACGGCCTCTGCGCCGCCCCGCCGGGCCTCGGCGGACAGGGACCCCCAGGGTGTCCGCGCCGGTGTCAACTGTCAGTGTCCGGGCGGCCGCGTCCGTCCGTCCTCGGCCCGCGCTGCGCGCTTCGCGGTGCCCGCCGTGGGCCCGGAGTCTGAGTGTGTGTGTTCTAAGCCCCCGCCCCGCCCGTGGTTTGACCGGCTTCCCACCGGAGACAACTTCGGGGACCCTGGTGCCCCTGCACCTCCCGAGCGAAGGCTGGGTCGCGCGTTCCCACAGCGAGCGCGCTGCGCAGCCAGACTTGCTGGGGGCCGTTGGCAGGTCCCTCAGAGCGCCTTGGTAGCTGCCTTCCAGTTAGGAACAGCCTGGGACCCAGAGTCTGTAGGACTTGCGGGGAAAGCCAGGCGAAGCCTTAAACTCTGGTGGAAGGTACCTGCAGTAATGGTTAGGATCGAAAGACATTCCTGCAAAGGGGTTTAAACGTCTTGCTCCCTCCCTTTTTTCCTTTTAAATCTCTCATTGTAGGGCTGAGATTAAAGAAGAGTAAATAGCAAGCATTAGATATTTGCATAATGAACTATTATTATTTAACACAAAATGACCTAGGTGCATTTTTGTGGTTAAAGCTTTGGGAATGGTTTATTATAATTGTTTATTATAAACACTGTGATGTGTAAGATTGGCAAAGTTTTCTCCCTTCCGGGGCTGTTAAGACAAAAGTTTTTTTTTTTTTTTTCTTTTTAACGGTAATCTTTGAAATTAGTGGAAATGCACAGTATGATTAGAAACCATTGCTATTTGGGGGGTTTATTATGACAGAGACCCGCTCTAGATTGTGTATGGAAGATTTGGTGAGCCTATTTGGGGTTTATTCCCGATGAGTGCCACTTACAAGGCACTTTTGATTGCAATGAGTACATCTGAAGTCAAAAGTGGTCTGTCCAGAAAGATGAGAAGTGGATTTTTAAAATATGTAAGTTTGTATGCACTGATAAAGGCTTCTTAAGTCTTTTTTTAGGAAATTAATGTTAAAAAGTAAAACGTTCTACTCACTGGGAGAATCAAGCCAGTGATTAACTGACACTGTCTTTGCAGCAGTGATAAAACCTAATGATGTTGTCCAATTTTTTCTTACCTTTCTAGCATAGTATGACTTTTGGTGAATGAGTTTTGAGAGTCATCCAATTAAGACATTTTTTCTTATAAATACATTTTTCATATAAACTTTTATGAATCCTCTGAGACCTTTTTGGTGACCATTACTTATAATCCACTATAAACACAACTCTGAACTGAATCAGAAAACCAAGCAGAAGAAAATTTTCAAAATCCATGATGTCAGTATTTTATCGGAAAAAATAATTTATATTTTATTTTGAAGACCGTTGTGCAAATTTTATTTTAATTCAACTTAATATAGTGCATGGATACTTTTAAAAGCAAATTTATAGTAAAGCTATATATAAAGACGGACTTAAGATTAAAAATCACAATTCTAAATTATCTAATACATGGCTATATAAACACTTTGTTAGGATGAACTATGTTTAGGCAGTTTAGTTTACTTGGGATTCGTGGGATTCATTTACTTGGGACATGAGAAGGAAGAGTATGATCTTTGGATTTGATTAGACAGTTATTAGTAACTTATAATTACATGGAGAATATAAGGTAGATTTTAAAAGATGTTTTTTCTCATACTCCACATAGTGTTTTACATAGTGCAAATAAATGTGTATTACAACATAAATACAACATGCTCCCTCCCACGAAAAGTACCTTACATACAAAAACCATTTGGACAATGTGCAGTAAATTATTTTATACAATTAGTTGCATTGCCTAATTCTGTTGGTGGGCATATTTTTATAAAAGTCTTAATTGCCAATTTTGGACTTGGTTGTGTTGGAGAGTGCGGAAAGAAGAGAGAGTGTTGGAAGGTAAGTGAAAGTGGAGGAAGAGAGAGTGTGCCTAATTCTGTTGGTGGGCACATTTTTATAAAAATCTTGATTGCCAGTTTTATACTTGGTTGTGTTGGAAAGTGTGGAAAGGACAATGTTGGAAGGTAAGTGAAAGTGGAGGCAATTGAACAGAAGTCTTGAAGTGATGGGTTTCCTGTTTCTGTGACTAAACTTTGGAGACAGGAAAGGCATTATAGTTTATACCTAGTGATAAGCTGGAGATCAAAATATAAATCAATGTATATCTGGGATTGTTTTTTTCTGTTAAAGACATTACGCTACTCCGAACTTGGCCTTTTATGTCTATGCTCTTTTTAATTGCTACACCCTCTTTAATGCAAATAGTGCTCTTCCACTTTATATAAATCTTGGTTACTTTTGAGGAAAAACAAAAATAGGTTACTTGGTACAATAGGAGTAAAGAGGATTGAGTGTTACCTCACTACCAGTAGTATTAACCTTCCTTTTACGTTCTTAAAATTTAGGATTCCTTCTTGGCACAGGAACTGTTTCAAAAGTACTTATATTTCTCACTTGGTTTATGACTGATCTGTTAAATGCCCTGACCCAGACAGCCATAGAAACATAGTTTAATTGAAGTTGGTGATTATGACTGTGAGAAGTATGGGGAAGGATATCAAGATGATATAAAGCAGAATAGAAAGGCTTAAGAAAATTCTACTTTAGAAAAATACAATTTTTGGCATCATTATTAAAAACATATTTCACCCTTTTAAAATCAGCAAGTCTTTTTATTTAAAATTGAATTTTGGTAGTGATATTTGTGGTATATTCTAATTCTATAGAACTGGATTTAGGTATTTGAGTAGTATCAGATATTAAAGTGCATGGATCTGTATACAATAGTGTTGTCAATATTGGAATTCAAATTTCAATATCTAATTCTTTAAAAATTTTTGATTAAAAATAACAATTAGAACATAGTCACATCTGTATATTATTTAAATTATCTCTTAGAAAATATATATATCTACCTCTACAACTCCACCTGCACAGTAATTCTTGCCTACTTTTTTATTTTGTGGATGTACACAAATTACGCAAATACTCTTCAATAAATGAGCATTCAGTAGGTTTACAGATTGCTATCATCAGAAATGTTTGGGTTCATATCTCTTTATTTGCATATATAAGCATATATGTAAAGTAAAAATCTTGTTACAATTTCTGGGTGGATTTTCTAGTCAAAGAATTAGTAGATTTTGAATTTTTTCTAGGTATTTCTAAATTGTTCTAAAGTAAGTGACCCTATTTTACATTTCTGTCTAGTGTAACAAGGTAGTAAAAGCTGCTGCTCAGGACTGAAAAATTTCAAAAAGACATCCTCCTCAAGACTGACTCATATCCATCAGCAGAGCATCTGCTGGGTTTTTCTTTTCTCCCTGCCTCTTTCCATCCCCGCTCAGGTTTAGTGCCTTTGAGCAGTGCACAAGCTGCACAGCTGTGCTTGGTGGCTCTGGCAGTGTTTATAAGAATGCCCATTTACCCCTGTGTACCATAAAATATTTTTACTTTTGCCTTCCTGTTAAATTAAAAACAGTATATATTAAGTTTTAAAATGAATTTATAAGAAAAAACCCTCTCATTTTTCATTTTATATTGTTTTATTTTCATGAAACCAGATCCAATAATTGAGCACCTACTGTGTGCCTAGTACTGCTCCAGGTGCCAGGAATACACAAGTGAAAGAAATAGAAAAAAAAAAATGGCCTTGCTATTTATGAATGTGCAATCTAACTTTACTATTTGCCTACAAATCTATACATTTGTTTTAAAACTTATACGTGGTGAATTTTAAAGTTACAGAGTTTATATTTCTAGTTGAATGTACTGTGTACTGCTACTTTGCCATTTCAATAATTTTAGATAAAATGTGACCCTACTTCGAAGTACTCAAGATAGGCTCTAAAAGCTCCTAGTTATGACGAAGTACAATTGTGTCATAAAGGAAATTCTACTGAATCTTTGCATAGGTGATTTTGTGTAATTATGTGCAGTTCTTCTTTGGGTCCAAAGGCTCTAAAATGATGACCTTATGCCCTTTTCAATTTTGGAATGATTTCTAGGGATTTTTTTGAAATCTACATTTTTTGAAACTTCATAGCTTCATTTCTTGAAAATGATACAGTGAAAGTACTTTATATTAAGATATGCAGATCCATTTCTACCTCCAAAGCTTCTTTGAAAAATGGGGAAAAAATCTTACATCGAAATGCTTCATATTCATGAAAGCAGTTTCAATGCAGAATAGTCCATATTCTGTTAGCTTTTAGTTCTTTGATCAATGAAAATTGTTTCTTACTTGCTGTTTCTTCAGCCTTTAATTGTGGCCCAGTGCTTATTCAGTATTTCTGTTTTAATTTGTATTTAATGAGCTCATTTTAAATATTTCTTTGTAGTAACCTGAATGGTTTCTCTCTTAGGTTTTGTAATATTAAAGAAGGAAATTTTTATGACAGTTGGCTGATTTATGTTGTAGTTCACCTTCCTGGCTTATTTACTTCCCCCTATAGGAGAGAGTCTTGGTTAAAAAGAATTGTGGTAAGGTTACTATATTTCCCCCAGTACTGTATGTCCTAATTATCTGGGACTTCTACCAGGTTTATTCCTGTATCTATTTTCTCTAAATAGAAACCTTTCTTCTCTGAATTAACAGGTATTTCAGCTCGCACTAATGATTTCAGTGTCCGTTCTTTCCGAGGTACTAGATCGGGTGGTGCTGTGCAGGGGGGGAGGTCCAGGTGGGTGGCAAGTGTGTGTTTATCGCCCACCAGGGAAGGACACGGGGAAATGTGAGACTGTTTCTCCGAGACGAGTCTGTGATCTAGTTGGACTGATAAGACATATATTTGGGTAAGAATCCTCCCCCCAGCAGAAGCAGAGTAATTAGAAAGAGATGTGCACACACAAGCACGCACACACAAACCATCACACCACAGATTTTCAGGTCTCTTCTGCACATGTTATTTTCTCAGCTTTGGACGTTATTCCTCTCTGTTGTAC